CGCGCTGCGGCGTCTTGGGGGCCGGCGGTTGTCCCCCAGGCTGGCGGCAGCGTTTGCTGCGGGTCAGATAGAGGCGGGCGGCCAGCACCGCGTGGGTGGGAGTTACGGCTGGCCACCGTGTGCTCAGAGGTGGTGCCCTCACTTCTAAAAATACAGGCAAATTATTTATTTATTTTAAAAAATAAATTCTTTGGAGTGCTTTCCCTGGGTGTTGCAGCAGAAAGTGAGTCTTGCAGTGTCGAGTTGCATGGTGGGTGGTTTGAATGTCCTTTGCTGTATTCCTACCTTCAACACTTACTGGATTAGGTCAGAAGTGAAGTCATTTGATTTCCAAGCGCTCACTGTGTCTCCTGTAGTCTAGGAAAACAGTTAACAAAAATTTAGACCATAAGTACGCTATACGGTTCAAATAAAGCTGTTGGAGAGACTTCATTTACATGGCGTATAGTGGTTTACTGAGCATCATTACCCAGCTTTTGACAGTTGATGCCATTTGCGGCTGCGCTGTGAGGAGAACCCTTCGTGCACACAGAAAGAATCTTCCTCTTCTCACCATTTCTGCCATTTCCAGGTAACCTCCTAGTGTTGTAGGACTGCACCTCTAATTAGGTTTTCCTTAACAGTCCAGGCAGCAAACTGTAAGAAGCTAATGAAACTTTTGGTCTAGACACCTACCACAAATACTGATTCCCCTCTGTAACATGTGACTTAAAAGAAGAATAACCTCTTAGAGGTTAAATAATGTGTATAAATGTTCAAAGTACTCTAAATGTAAATATAAACAGAACTGGTGATGGTAGCCTAGCCATATAAAAACCGAAGTGAAGCAGAGGGCCTGATTCTCTGCCCTGTAAACTGACGTTGAGCGGATGTGAAGAAGCAGAGTATGAGCCCCAGTACTTTTAAATAGGTGATCCTGTCATTTCTCAGGCTTCTTAAATGCAATAGATTGTGAGATCTAAATTGTAAACTGAAATTTAAGGGTTCATGCTTAATGAGGTGCGTAGCCTTGCAGAGTGAATGATGTTTTTAGGAAACACGTGAGGCATTTCATTTAGAAATCTCTCTGCCATTATATTTATATGAAAATTAATATGCTGACCATTTTTATAATGGGAATTTCATTGGTGCTCTTAAGAGGAAACTTTTTCTTCCCTTTTTGTTACTTGGAGTAAGCTAGTAGCACCAATCTGTTGCGTGGAAGGAATCAGTTCCAGGTGCCCTGAAAGATTATGTATTAATATCCTTCTTTTCTAGAAGGCAACCTGGATGTAGGACAAACCCAAGACATGAGAGATTGTAGGTTTTTTCGTGATCTCTGCCATGCTTTGCTTTGTGATCATAGGAAATACATGTACGCGTTTTGTTCTGGTTTTCCATTTAAAAAATACAGTTAAAGCTATGTTGGAAAAGTACTATAGGAATCTAAGTACTATTAGAGAAAGCATTTTTAATTAATTTACACACATATTTCTAGAGTGTATTTCTTTTCTATAGATGATCTATCAGTGTACTCATTTTAATTATTATGTAATTTCTATGTATTTTAAGCCTTTTAAAAAATCTTACAGCATTTTCTAACCTAGGTGTGGATTCTGTAAATATAGGATCATTTAATGAGTCAATTCTCTGTAGGATACCATGTGTTTTTATTAAATAATAAATGTAGTTTTAATATGTTTTAGTTAATGAATGTATTTATATTTTCAGGAGGAAGGCAATTCTAAAACTGGTATGCTTTAGAATTTTAGATGAGCCTCAGCAAAGACAATTAATTTAGCATGTAATATGGATTATCCAACTTCATTCTGCAAAAAAGGAGAATTAAACTCTAAATGGAAATAACAAAATACATAATGTACAGAAATGTTGTACTTTGTATATGTTTGTCATGTTTTCCCCAAGTCACATACCAAACTGGAACTACTAACATCTAAAATGAGAGCACATATAAAAATGAAGAACCACCAAAATGTTTCAGGAGAAATGTTATTAGTGTGTAGGGTACTGTGGGCTAGGGCCACCATTGCTTCGACCATGCAGCTTCCATGTGTGGTTACTAACCACAAAAGCCAAAGATCAGCACTTAAAAATCAAATACACAGGACAGTATATATAAAGTCACAAGTGCGACAGTATTTATATATAAAGTCACAAGTGCAAAGGTAAGGAAAAGCAGGAACAGAAAAGGTCAGAACACTGTGCTCTATCGAATATTTTATTTTTGCAGGAGAGAGAGGTGATCAGCAGTAAGCAACTGTACATCCTGGTTGTACCTGGAGACGTAAATAATTTTTGTGTTCAGGAAACCAGTCTTTTTATCTTTGAAGTAAATATTTGCCTTACCACTGATTTCCTAGGGAGCTGAAGCATGCCTACCATCTTAGCATTTTTCTGTATGTCCGATCTGCACATAAGTAAAAGAAGGTTGCTGATTTAAGCAAGTGTGTATAATTATCTTAGGAACAATGTCTTTACTCATGTGGTTTCTTTCACACCAAAGGCTATCTAACCAGGAAATTTCCATGTTGACATATCTTTACTGAATGGTAGACAAAGTATTTTTTACATAACTATTATTTGTCTAAACCTGATCACAGTTGTGAATTCAGATAAGTGTTTTAATTGGATTCAGATACAAACTTTTTAATGATGTACAGCATTCACAACAGTCAGAGATGCCAGGATTTCATACCTGCCCATGGCATCTTGTGTTTTTCTCTGTATTAAATATAACCTTCAGTGCCCTAGCAGACTGGAGGAGCAGATCACAGAGCAAAGCATGTAACTTTGCTAGCCTGTTGTGCTAAGAATGTTATGATCTTTGCTCAGCTATTTATAAATTATTTAAAAATGAATGGGTGTTTCAAGGACATATTGTACATACTGAGCTTTTATATCCTTGTCATCCTTGTTAGACTTTTGACTTGCATCATTTACGTCTAACAAAACCAAAATAACACATTAAGGGTAATATCTCGGATCTGTACCTTAAGCCAAGCTCCCATAGATTTGAGTGTAAATTCAGACTGAAGCTGTAACAGCAACATATTTGAATCAGGATTTGGTTTTTAGTTCATTGTAACATATATTTGAGATGTAAGTTATTTGTATATGCTTAGTAGTCAACAGGTCTCTTGTGAGAGACCTATACGGATAGGCTGGAATGAAGAACTGATATTCTGAAAGAATTGTTGTAAAAGAAATATGGAAAATGCTTGTCATCCTCTATAACCTATAATTATGTCAAAGGTAATGGGATATAGTTTTATAATCAGGCAATATTGTTAATATTTTAGAATTGCTTTACGATGCTATTTTATTTACTTTTAAAATACATTTTTATGTGATTGGTAAAACATACACTGACTTCTATATATTTTAAATTTCTACCCTTGCTTTTTATTTGTAACAAATCCCTAGAAATAACACCACCATTTTTCACGTAGTTTGGTTCTGAACAAAATCATGGACATACACTGCAGCTCCTGTTGGCCTGTGTGCTTGGTGTTTTCTCACTGTATGTAGTACGTGGCTAAGCTGCTGTATGCTTGGATCAAGTCTGCATGGGGATGTATCAGCAGCAGGCACTGCAATGTGGAAACTCGGAGACAGAGCAGTATAGACATAGTCTAAGTGCTTTCTAGCACTCATGCAAAGGTGCAGTCTTCTGAGAGTGATGAATAATAACAAATTTATCTTTCCGCATCATGCAGCTCATTTTCTAGTCCAGTGCAAAGGTGCAGTCTTTGATGAATAATAAAAAAGCCCTTTTTCTTTCCATATCTCCTCAGAGAGACCAAAATAATTGTTAATATAGCTTGCCATAAGCTTGTAGGTCTGTGCATTTTATTGAATATATGAATTCAAAATAACTCATAGTGAGAGCAAGAGTTGTATTTTAAACAAATTCAAGGTGTTTTATTCTCTGCTTATGGGCTTAGGCATTTCTAGTATCAGCTTCCATTTGTTACGTGTGGTTGCAGTAAGTTACACACTTGTTCTATGGACAGGTATTAAGAGGAAGAAAAAGTGATTGCCCTAGCATTCATGTGTATAAACATTGTCATGGCCCACCAGAGCAAACTAGTATGTGCATATGCCTATTAGGACATGATATATTCAAATTTAGTTGGTAGTCTTGTGAAGTGGCCGCATGGTTGGTGTGGTACTTGTGCCACCGTAGGTTTTCTCTTTTACCAGATGAAACTGGGAACTTGTCTGAACTGTCATTGCCTGAGTTATTTATGGCATGTTGTTAGGATTTGATCTCTAAAATCCTGTATTGTGAGCAGATTACATTTCTTTTATAACAAAACCTCATATTCCAGCAAAGGAATAAAAAAACAACAAACCAGCTATTTGAAATCATGTCCTCAAAGT